ATTATATGTTTAACGTATCAGCAAACATACAACATTTCGATAAGGTGTTGATGATAAATCCTTGTCGAAACGTTGTACATTTGCTGTTATGTTAAACTTATATTAAAGTTTTTCTTCATTACCCATTCAAGCCGTCTCTAGCCATTATTAGAGCATCAATGAGTCGATCAGGTCTGTATGAATACACAGACTAAAAGTATGTCAGTACTGATTATCTATAACTTTCATCAGCGAAGTTAAAGTTCTACACCCAAAAATATCAAGTCTAATAAACATTATTATAAGAACAAGAAATAGCAGTGTACAATACGTATGTCTATGTTATTATTCTCTGTTTCTGAAAGATATAGGACGCGCCATCTATTGTTTCATCTTTCTACCTTTGTGTTCTTTTATAGGTTTTAATTTGATACCATATAGTCAAATTAAATCCAAATCGCATTGTATCCAGTAAATTTTTCCCATCATATATTTTTCTGATTCTTAGCCTACTTATGATACTAAATTATACATTTACTTGGGATCTACTCAATTTTACATGGTTAATAGATTATATGCAATGTATAGTTATGAAAGTTTCATATAAACTACAACAGACATTTTTTGTAATCCAGCATTTAACGGTGTAACTAGATATGTATTTTCATGTTTGCCATTTTATCTGATTTGCTGAATAAATGCAGTTACGATCGTATCTGTGTAGATTTGGAATTTATTTTCAAAACTAGTATAAAAACCCGTCAAAAATGGGGGAACCATTGTTGAATGATTCATGAAAGTTATAGAATTTAACTAAAACTGATTTGTCTGTACCTTCAAAATGTACCTACTCTTCGCGCATTTCATCAGTCTCGAAGTAATTCTTTAACCATCAAAATTTTAGTAAAAACTACGCAGAAATATGAAATGTTATCGTGAACGAAAGTACATGTGCACTCTCAAAGAGACTTAAATAGCACACTTGAGCCTTTTCACTGTATTCTAGGTCAAGAAGTAGAAAACATAGTGCGGACATTCCGACACAAATTTTCAACTCTACAAAGGATAAAAGATATTTGGTAGTAATAAACGTTTAACAAACTTTCTAACAAATCAACATGAATATTTAGCACTCAACATAAACACCATAGTTGGCCTAAGAACAATCAGGTGATAGTTTTGTTGCTAAGCGACGATGTATATTGTTGAGCGTTACCAAAAAACGAACGTGAAAGCGTTCTCGACAAAGTGACAAAGAGAGTAAGCCTTTTATAGTTAGTGATATGTCCTCCCCCTGTCGGACAGAGGTAAATTTACGGACTTAGAACCCTTAAACCTTGGGTTCGATTCTCCGTGGTGGACACAGCAAATAGTCTAAGTGGCTTTGCTCTCAAACAAACAAACAAAATATGTCTAACAATAGCCCACCCCATCCCCCGATAGTCCAGTCGTAAGTATGTTGGAATTATTTTTTTTTTTTTTTTTTTTTTTTTTTTTTT